TTATTGGCTTGCATTTTCTTGCTTTCAAACTGCTAGGTTGGCAAGAGCCGGGGACAGAGATGGGAGCTCACTCCGTCACGCGGCACACTCGGGTCTCGAACCGCCAAACTACAGACCTTCCGGTCTGCAGCTTAGCGTCTTAACCTCTGCGCCACTACGGCCCTCAAGGAAAAATGTTCCAGCTCCCTAATGCCTTGTGTTACTCCAAGCAAAGTCCAGCTTTTAGGCAGCTCTCCTGCCTTAACAAATGGGTGACTTCCGGGTCCAGCGACACCATTCCAGCACACAGAAGGGAGCGTACGGTTTCCAAAAGCCACTGGGGGAAGGCCCTCTGAGTTTACCTTCCTTCATGTGAGGAGCTACAGAGGGGGACCCAACTATGGTCTGTTGTATCCAAAGGTTTTGCGGCAATTCAAGCCTTCATTGTGGCAGAAACTTTCATGTGTCGCGCAAGGGGGAACTGGCTCACAGAAGCTCAGCCACAAAACATTGGTCAGCCTCTTTGGTATTTAGCTAGTGAGTTGGTGGACCAGATAAAGGCAGATAAATACTCTGCTGGGCTCCTGAGTTCCCTAATCTGGTTAAGGCACACTGGCAGTAGACAGGCACAATCTGTAGCAAAGATGAATCCCCAAACTCTCTCAATAGCTGACTCCACAGAGAGCAGAGTTCTGAGGCTCAGAACCTTCATTCAAGTCAGGGTTCAGCCCCAGAAAAGAGCTCTGAGCATGTGCAGTGTGCCTTTCCTCATTGGGGGAGCACAGAGAGAAGTGACAAGTTCAAGGACGCAGTTTTGGGGTGAACTGAACCTCAGCACACGTCATGTCAGAGATTAAACATACAGCTGGAGAGAAAAGGTAGTTGAAGCCCCTCTGGATATTTTCAGCACCGTTAAGGATCAGCTCTTCCAACAAAGCAATATCTTTTTAATATACACAAAGAGGGCAAATCCACAAGGCTCTCTACTACTAGCCAAGGTAGTCTAAAGGAAGCCTCTTGACTATCATTTTCAGAGAAAATAAACCTCTAAATACCAGTGTCAGGAGGCAACATCAGGGGAAGGCTTCAGCCTCCATGTACTGTTGGTCCTCTCCAGAGGAACTGCTTGGCCACTGTGTGAGAGAGGAGGCTGGACTAGGTGGACCTCTGGTCTGATCCAGCAGGGCTCTTCTGAGGTTCCTATGAAGGCCTCAGACTCTCTGCCCTGTTGTTGGCCCTCCAGAGGAACTGATTGGCCACTGTGTGAGACAGGAGGCTGGACTAGATGGACCCCTGGCCTGATCCAGCAGGGCTCTTCTGAGGTTCCTATGAAGGCCTCAGACTCTCTGCCCTGTTGTTGGCCCTCCAGAGGAACTGATTGGCCACTGTGTGAGACAGGAGGCTGGACTAGATGGACCCCTGGCCTGATCCAGCAGGGCTCTTCTGAGGTTCCTATGAAGGCCTCAGACTCTCTGCCCTGTTGTTGGCCCTCCAGAGGAACTGATTGGCCACTGTGTGAGACAGGAGGCTGGACTAGATGGACCCCTGGCCTGATCCAGCAGGGCTCTTCTGAGGTTCCTATGAAGGCCTCAGACTCTCTGCCCTGTTGTTGGCCCTCCAGAGGAACTGATTGGCCACTGTGTGAGACAGGAGGCTGGACTAGATGGACCCCTGGCCTGATCCAGCAGGGCTCTTCTGAGGTTCCTATGAAGGCCTCAGACTCTCTGCCCTGTTGTTGGCCCTCCAGAGGAACTGATTGGCCACTGTGTGAGACAGGAGGCTGGACTAGATGGACCCCTGGCCTGATCCAGCAGGGCTCTTCTGAGGTTCCTATGAAGGCCTCAGACTCTCTGCCCTGTTGTTGGCCCTCCAGAGGAACTGATTGGCCACTGTGTGAGACAGGATTCTAGACTAGATGGACCATTGGTCTGAACCAGCAGGGCTCTCCTTATGTTCTTTGATGCTCAGTTAGAAGTCAACTGAAATCTGAAACCGTGCTTGCAGAGTTCACCCCGGAGATACTGCATGCAGGGGGCCAGGTCATATATGTGGGGTTCCTTCATCGCTCCATGCAAACATCCTCACGCTGACACTTCCCCACATTCACCCAGAGGAGGGAGAGAGTAAGCAACAAAATGCACACTGTGCCCCTTGCACACAATGGCACTGATTCCTACAACTGCAAGTGCCCATTCTGGGCATAGGTATATAACCAGCCCCCCAATGCATTTTTCCAGAATGCAAAGAAGGTTAGCAAACACTGGGGAACATTTGTGGAGCAAGAATACCACCAAGAACAAATGGACCCTGTGCACATTTCGGTACCCCAATTCGTTTTCGCTCAAGTAGCCATGATGGAGGGGTGAGGGAGGGTTTGTAAAATTCCTCTCTGCGTGTTGATAAAAAGAAGGAGGGCACCAGGCACGCTCTGTCTAGAAACAGCATGAAAACAATGGGAGGGAATTTGCCAAGTTCCAAACTTTGACCTCTGCTGATTGGCTAAACCCTCTCACTAAATGGTTTCCCTCATTTCGCCAGACAGACCTAACTGCCGCTAGCCACAAGGCAACCCTTAAGACTGGTGGAAGACTGAACCCTTGGGTTCGTTTCCCACCTTCTGGATCCACACCACTCACCAGTTTCGTTCCCAAACCAGTCCTATTCCTCTGTTATGCAATCTGGCCAAGGCGGCCTTTGCCAGGTGCGGCTCTAGAGTCTCTTGGCCCAGATCCAGGCCCTGTTGATCAACTTCAAAGAGACTTGGGGAAATAACCCGCCTACCAAGACCGAGGTCCTATTCCCAGGGCCAGCATCCAACTCTCTTTGCCTGAGCAGAAATTACAAAGGAGGGAAAACCCACCAGCAATCAAGGGCTCTGATAATGTCATCGGCTAACAAGCTCAGGCACAAAAGCAAATATGTAAATAGCCGGAGAATATCTGGCGGGTCTTTGGTGTCGAAATTTCCAGAGGAGAATTCGAAGGAGAATTTCGAAAGCAAACACGTCATCTCTGTATTGCTTGGTTTGGCCCCTAAATCTCCACATTACTATTCTGGTTAGGAAGACAACCCCGAGGTCCAAGAGAAAACAGAATCCATGCAAAGAAAGACACACAGCCCTGAGTTCTTCTCGAGGAGTTACTGAGCAGGGGGCACAAAGGGACGCAAACCTGTGTTTCTGTCTCTGTTTCTATCTTGTCTTGAGATAAAACCATTTCGACGAGTAAATGAGAGCGAGCGGGAATACAAAACGGCGGATTAAAAAAATGAATGGGCTGATCGTGCACAAGCCAGGGATGCCAGTCTCCAGGTGGGACCTGGGGATCCCCCAGGATTACAACTCTTCTCCAGACTACAGATATAAATTCACCCAGAGAAAATGGAAGCTTTGGAGGCTGGGCACCAGTGTTCCCCCTAAGCTGAGTGAGTGTGAGCTAGCTCACAGTTTTTTAGCCTCCGGCTCACACATTTTTTGTCTCCGCTCAGGAAGGGATGGGGCTCCAGAGCAAACTAATTTATGCAGTAGCCAAATCACTCACTCGCAACTTTAACGCCAGGAGCTCACAAAGTGGCATTTTTGCCCACAAGACTCCACAGCTTAGAGGGACCATTGCTGGGCACTATGGCACTGTACCCCACTGAGGTCCCTGTCCTCCCCAGACTCCACCCCCAAATCTCCAGGAGTTTTCCAGACTGGATCTGGCAACCCCCACCCCTCAATGTGGCCTGTGTCAGTTAATGCTGCAGGTAGGTGAGGCTCGGTAACTTTCTCATGTGCAGCTCACTTGGAAAAAGGGGAGGGAACTGTGGTGCCCCTACCTCCTCATTTCTTTCGGCTTCCTAAACAAGGAATTGGGAGCGAAGTGAATTAAGGTAAGGCCCTCGACTTCAGCTGCCTGTGAGAACTGAGTCACGGGGAGAGTCTGTTTTCAGTTCTGTAAAACCCTCCCTGCAAAGCGCTGTGATTCACACACGCATCCAGAGGAATGTTGCAGCCTTTGTTCTAGCCAGGGTTGCCAACGCCTGGTTGGGAAATGCCTGGAGCTTTGGGGGTGGAGCCAAGGGAGGGACTCACATGGGAGTCCACCCTCCAAAGCACACATTTTCTCCAAGGGGAACTGATCCCGAGAGACAGGGGGACTGATCCAGAGATCCAGAGAATTGATCTCCTGGAGAGCAGTTGTAATTTCAGGAGGTCTCTCCAGACCCTGCCTGGAGGTTGGCAGCCCTAATTCTATCAGAGCTCCTGGGCTTTTAACCACAGCATTCTAGAATCCCGGGAAAGTGACTCAGTCGACATCACCGGCCACAAAGGAACCCTTCCCAGGAGAAGAGATTAAATGAACACCATGTCCTCCTCATGGGACAGGTCTACACTTTGTCTAAACAGGTCTAAACTTTGTTCAGATGTGCACCTTTATAAAGGGCTCACTGCCTTGGTAATACTGCCGTGTCTTTCGGAAGCTGGATTGCCTACAAATATTGAGGGCCAGAAGCAAAGTTCCCATCCTATACATGGCCGCAATCCTGTGAGGCACACGAAGGGGAAGAGGGCAAAGTCTATAACCACTCGAAGATAGTTTGAAAACAGGAACCCAAACTGTCCCTACAAGCCTCAGTGACAGTTTTCCTAAATTCAACGGGTATCTTGTCCAGAGACAGCGTGACTGCGGGCCCATCCAAGCTCTGCTGGGGGAATCATAGACTCATAGAGTTGGGAGGGACCCTCCAGGGTCATCTAGTCCAACCCCCAAGTGCCGTCTGTCTCACAGAGTCTCTGGGCAGCCTTGAGCCAGCCACGCCCCGTCCACCTCACTGCCCCATGTGTACAAAGTGGACACCACTGATCGATCAGACGGGGTGGACGCCAGTCAGTACACAACCTTTCAGACAGGCGAAAGTTGCCCCGAATAAGCATTCCGTGAGCCCTTTTCTGGGAGGTGCCCCCAGAGAAGAGGCGTGTTCCGTGGGCACCTTCCCCCCCCCCCATAGCACTGCAGCCCGTCCGGCTTGCTACTCACCCTCCAGCTTGAGCAGGGAGTCGTAGACCTTGCATTGCATCTGCCCCGTGCTCTGCATGACGCACGACATCCAGAGGCCCTCGTAGATGGCTTGGGCCGTCACAATGTTGTCCCCAGCGTAGGAGGAGATCTTCCACTGGGGCATGGCCGTGCTCACCACGATGCCGATCCAGCCGATGAAAGCCAGGATGAAACCCAGCATCTGCAAGCCTCCACTGGCCATCTTGGTCTGAGAACGTCGGAGCCCCTCGAAGGTCGGGAAGAAGAAGCTGAGCGGGTTCCTTGGCTGGAACCTCTGGGATCAGTCCTGCAGCTCGGCCGGTCCTTCTACTGCTGGCGGAGCAAAGGACGCTTCTCGTTCTCCTCCTCTCTTTGTAATCCACAAGATTTCAGAGCAACTTGTCCTGCTGAGGAACCACCTGCACTGGAGCCGAGAGCATCTCTGGCTCGCTATTTAAAGGGGAGTCCTCGGAGAGCCCCCTGGTGGTTTCGCTTGAGACTGCAGCGCAGCCCTGGTTGTCTCTGGAAGGGTTTATTGGCACCCAAACGTGAGAGGCAAGGATAGACCTTTACTTTAACAAAATGAATGTTGGTTGCAACGGAGGGGTGCAAAGAGACAGAGGAAAGGCTTTTCTCCACTATTTCCCAAGAGAGCACGTCGATGGTTCGTTTTGCCCATTGTGCATAAGTTTCTGTAATCGGCTCCTTAACTTATGACGACATGGGATCCACCCTGTTCCCTCGCCGGTTTTAGGGAAGAGCTACACCCGTCGATGAGAGCTGACGAATGAGACAGTCAGCTTGGAATCACTCTAAGGACGGCGGGTTCCACAGCCCCAAACTCTCCCAGGACACGTGCCGGCTACAAGCCTTGGCGGTCAAAGTTCCTTTTCGGCTCCCTTCACTCTATTCATGTCTGACCAGTGAATTTCCAGAACTGGGGAGGGGCAGAATGAGGCCCCAAGCTGTTTCCCTATTTCCCCCTGCTCAGATTTTTAAGACAGCCTGGGGGGTGGCCTTTGAGGACTGCTGAACCTCAGCGGGAACTGAAATGTGTTGTTGCATTTCCACACACCCCATCTTGAGACTTCAGAGCAAGGGCCCGGTTTCATTAAAGCAGACAGCCCTGCTTTGATCAGGGCAGCTAGGCTTTAATTCAGTCCGGGCGCTCAGGGAGGCAGGTGGCAACTCTTTAATTTCATTTATGCTTTTAATTATTGTACCTTTCCTTTGTTTTGTACCCTTCGAAGCGCATGGATTCACAAAACTTGAGCAGCAGAAAACACTTATTTCTTATTTTTTTAAATGCAAGCTCTAAAAGGACTGAGACAGATTTTGCAATGGCTAGAGTGATCTTGGGGTCCTTATCACTGAGAAGAAGAAGAAGAAGAAGAGGAAGAAGAAGAAGAAGAAGAGGAAGAAGAAGAAGAAGAAGAGGAGGAGATTGGATTTATATCCTGCCCTTCACTACCCAGAGGAGTCTCAGAGCAGCTTACAAACTCCTTTCCCTTCCCCTCCCCACAACAGACGCCCTGGGAGGTAGGCGGGGCCGAGAGCTCTGACAGAAATATCTCTTTTTCAAGAACAGCTCTGAGAGAACTATGGCTTGCCCAAGGTCATCCAGCAGCTGCAAGTGGAGGAGTGGGGAATCAATCCACAAGGGTAAATTCTGTCACTGTAGACCCGGCCTACCTACTTGATGATAAAGTAGGACAGCTCTCCCGCCCCCCTGCTCCGAGCTTCTTGGGGACTGAAAGGGCCCCTTGGCAATAATCAGGGTCCTCCCTGGCCACCAGTGTGGGGTGTGTGGGGCAGGTTTGCCAGCTCCAGGTTGGGGGGACCCCTGGAGATTTGGGGATGGAGCCTGGAGAGGACAGGGACCTCAGTGGGGTAGAATGCAGGAAAGTCAACCCTCCACAGCAGCCATTTTCTCCGGGGGAACTCATCTCTGTAGTCTGGAGATGAAATGTAACTCCCGTGGGTACGCAGGTCCCACTTATAGGCTGGCCTCTCTAAATCAGGTCCAAACTACAGTAAGGACTCAATGCTCCTTCTAAGCTGTGGAGTCTTGTGAGCAAAATTTCTACTTTGTGAGCGACTGGCATGAAAGCTGTGAGCGAGCGATTTGGCTGCTGCAGGAGTTCGTTGGCTCTGGCGCCATCCTTCCTGAGCTAAGACAAAAATGTGTGAGCCTGAGGCTAAAAAACTGTGAGCTAAACTCACACTAACTCAGCTTAGAGGGAACACTGGTTTTTGGGACTGCAGTGTGCATACCATGACTGAACTGAAGGGAAACTCCCCCATCATCTTGCTTTTGCATTCCCCCAAACCCTCCAAAATATTTGGTGTGCCGGCAAATCACTGTTTGTGCTTCTCCGCCACCGAGGCCCTGAGCCCTGTTTGTGTTCCTCCTTAATCCTCCGCCAGCTAATTCTCAGACAGTGCCCACCCTAATTGTCCTTCTTCTCCAGAGCAAATAAGCAATAGCAGCTGGAAAACAAAGGCTTTGTGGAAGGGAGGGGGTGTCGGGGGGCCTTGTTTTGACCGGCCCTCGTTCCATCTTGATGATTCTGAGGATTTCAGCCAGTAGCTCGCCAACTTAGAGGCTTCCAAGTGGTGATTACCCAGCGGGGCTTGCCTGACCGCAGAAGGACTGGAGGGGGGGGGGAGACAATGGCAGGCGGAGTAAACAAGACAGGGTCAAGGTTCAGAAAACATCTCTCTTGCCTCCCTCCCGGCACCGAACCCCAGCTCTTCTCTTTCTTTGCCCCCCCCCCCTCTCGAGAGAGAGCTTTGCAAAACAGTACAACTGAAACTCATTTGCTCCCGGGCATTCTCAGAATCCTATGCGCCAAAAAAGAGAGGCTCGATATTCTCCGGATATTTCCCGAGAGGGTAAAGGTCAGCAGAAGGTTTGCTGGAACGGCTGTGCTCCTACAGGCGAGAGATCACGGCAAGGTCCAGATTCCAATTCATAAGAACATAAGAACATAAGAGACGCCAATGTTGGATCAGGCCAAAGGCCCATCCCGTCCAACACTCTTCTGTGTCACACAGTGGCCAAGAACACCAGGGGCCATCAGGAGGTCCAGCAGTGGGGCCAGGACATTAGAAGCCCTCCCACTGTTGACCCCCCCCAAGCACCAAGAAGACAGAGCATCACTTGCCCCAGCGCCCCTATCTATACCTTGTGGCTAAAACCGACTGATGGACCTCTGCTCCATATGCTTATCTAATTCCCTTTTGATGCCGTCCATGCTTGTAGCCGCCACCACTTCCTGTGGCAGTGAATTCCATGTGTTAATCAATCTTTGGGTGAAGAAGTACTTCCTCTTATCTGTTCTAACCCGACCGCTCAGCAGTTTCATGGAGTGCCCACGAGTTCTTGTATTGTGAGAAAGGGAGAAAAGTACCTCTTTCTCTACCTGCTCTTTCCCATGCATAATCTTATAAACCTCGATCATGTCACCCCTCAGTCGTCTTTTCTCCAAGCTAAAGAGCCCTAAGCGCCTTAACCTTTCCTCATAGGGAAAGTGTTCCAACCCTTTTATCATTCGAGTTGCCCTTTTCTGCACTTTTTCCAAAGCTATAATATCCTTTTAAAGGTGTGGTGACCAGAACTGCACACAGTATTCCAAATGAGGTCGCACCATTGATTTATATAGGGGCATTATGATATTGGCTGATCTGTTTTCAATACCCTTCCTAATAATCCCCAGCATAGCATTGGCCTTCTTTATTGCAGTCACACACTGTCTTGACATTTTCAGTGAGTTCGATCCCGCATTCTGAGCCCTGTCTAGAACTTTCACCAAAGTGGTCGTGTCTTTTTAATTCTCAAAATCCTCCTAAAGCGTATTCTGGGATGCTTTGCACTTTTAACCGAGGGGCTGTGGCTTATTGGTTGAGCATTGGTTTGGCAGGCAGGAGGTCCCAAGTTCAATCCCCGGCATCTCCAGTGGAAAAGGACCAGGCAGTAGGTAATGTAGGGTTGCCAAGACCCAGGTGGGGGCAGGGTATCCCCTGGTTTGGAACCCCTCCCCCTGCTTCAGGACTGTCAGAAAGCGGAGGGAATGGCTGCTGGGTGCTCCATTATACTCTATGGAGACCGGTCTCCATAGGTTATAATGGAGAATCGATCCATGAATATCTGGGGCTCGGGGGCAATGTTCCCTCTAAGCCGTGGAGTCTTGTGAGCAAAAACTTTACTTTGTGAGCTACTGCCATTAAAGTTGTGAGCGAACAATTTCACTACTGTATCAATAAGTTTGCTCTGGAGCCATCCTTCCTGAGCTAAGACAAAAATGTGTGAGCCGGAGGCCAAAAAACTGTGAGCTAGCTCACACTAACTCAGCTTAGAGGGAACCATGGTGGGGGGGGGGGCTGGTTTTTGAGGTAGAGGCACCAAATTTTCACCATAGCTGTTGGTGCCTCTCCAGAAAAAAAACCTCCAAGTTTCAAAAAGATTGGACCAGAGGTTCCAATTCTATGAGCCCCCAAAAGAAGGTGCCCCCATCCTCCATTCTTTCCAATGGAGGGAAAGTATTTAAAAGGAATGCTTTTAAAAGGAATGCTTAAACATGACGGCCAGAACTCCCTTCTGGCTTGCTGGCCTCACCTGGCACCCCTAGTGACATCACAGAAGTGACGTCGCATCCTTGCCCCTGGCTCCGCCCCCAAAGTCCCCAGATATTTCTTGAGTCGGACCTGGCAACCCTAAGGTGATGTGAAAGGCAGGAGGCCCTGGGGAGCTACTGCCAGTCTGAGCAGACAAAACTGACCTTGTGCCGGGGTCTTTAGGCAGGTCACACCACACAGGGCTTCAGAAGAAGATAACTGCTTTATTAGTGATTCCAGTACTAAAGAACACGTACACAGCTTGTGTCAGGAATGGCCTTCAGTATAAGGGCCTCTGACTTATAGTGAAATCAAACATCCCCCCTCCCAATGAATTGAAGCTAATGATTATAATTCGCACGTGCGGCAAAAGCAAGCGAAGAAGCAGGCATAGCAAAAAGCCGTTACGTTCCCAGCCGAGTAAAAGGCAGCTGGAGACTACAAGGCCGAGCCTGAGATAGCGCACAGTAGCTGGACAGGGAAGACCTGAGAAGGAGGAGGAGAACACCCCCTCCACATTCCAGATCCGTGACAGGGCTACCTGACACCTTGAGGGACTGAGAGTGACTCAGTAGAAGGCAACAGAACAAATCTGGAACCTGGATCTATCGGTGGAAGGTTCTTCTCCATCCCTCATCTGCCCAATGCAGGTGTTTTGATTCTGCTCTGGGGTGGGGGGTGAGTGGGAGGAAGTTGGGGGGGGGGCCTGCCGTTTGCCTGGCTGGCTCATAGGAGGATTTGGGTGCAGACGGGAAATGTATGTTCTACCGGCACATTCTTGCTTTGCCGCAACTGCCCC